AGACGCTTAAGGCATTTGCGATTCTAACATGCCAGCTAGATCTGAGAGTCCTTCTATGTCGAGAATAGTAACGACCCGCTAAAGACCGCATTATCTCGGAAGTATCATTGCTTCCGAGTGTAATGTTCAATGTAATATCTTTCCAAATGCAACATCTACAATTTGCTACACACAACAAAGCTGCGTTGTTTTCGCACACTGTACGTTGTGTATTCACACGTCTACAACACACTCCATTAACTACCCTGGATTCTCGAAAATTATGGACTTATTTTGTTGTCGGAATGATCGATTAAATCTATATCATGCAATTTATTATCATGATATCCCTTGATATTTTTGATTATTTTGCAGTCCCGAAGCAGTTCTTTCGCATTTTTTATTCCGTTCTATTTCCTACGAATTTCTTTTTTATTATTCTTAGAGCGTTTCTCAGAAAATTTTGCTCATCGAGGACGCAATAGGTGTGATATAAGGCCTATAACATTCGAACCTTGGCCACACTAATAGATTGATTCGCTCGATAACGTTACTCACCATTATAATTTGAAGCCATTATAATTTGAAGCACTATATTTGAGCGATATCTTTTACATTGGCTGCGTTCAGCAGAAAAAACAGCTTTGCAATTGTTGTAAAGTTCTTTGATGCGATTGATCTTGCCCTCAGTTTCTCATTTTAGAATCTAAATATATAATAAACTAATTGTATTTATTAAAAAATCTCGTAATAGTTACAAAGTTGCTTTTTCTGCTAAAAGCAATCATTTATTATATTATTAATTCAATTTATTATGTCATTAATTTATTTTGATAGCAATACTCGCTAGTTTGATTATGAAAATAATTTCTGAAATCACCTGATTTGCGGTAATTACATCGAAAATCAATCGTTTACAAAAATATTGCTGGAAATTGCGAGGTAAATGCATAAATAAATATTTCAACCCCGATTTTCTATCCGGGAAAACTGTCGGTTACTGAAGCCGCGCCACTTCTGCTGCTCTGGCATTACGCGCGTGCAAAAAAGTGCCAGGCGATTGTCGACCATTCATTCGTGTGAATTTTATTCGGAATGGTATTCGTCATAGGGGAAAAAAAGTCTCGTCGTTTCTGTGAGAGAAGAGAGAAACCGGGCGCAGATTCCCGTGGTGGTGTCGCATTGCGGCGCACGGGGGGCAAAAGTACCACCCGATGTACCGACCTCGAAATGTGCGACAGACGACGCACTCGAAACTCGAGCGAGGCCGTTAGAAAATCGAACTACGAAAATGTAGAACACGCGACCTAGGGTGAGAGAGGGAAAGAGAAAAATAAAGAGAGGGTGGGAAGGGGAAAGAGAGAGAGAGAGAGAGAGAGAGAGAGAGAGAGAGAGAGAAGGCCCAAAAGAGAGAGCCCAGTAGGAGATCGTGCGGAAGATACGAGATTCTTTATGCAGAGCGAAAAGTCGAGACAGAGTAAATCATACCGAGATGTCGAATCTCGAAGAATAAGTGACTATAAGCGACCTGTTTAATTCGAAATTTCGAACGTTTTATTTAAACCAACAAGCATGGCGATTTTCACAAGAACGCATCTGTCCGGAGTAACGCAGATATTCAATTTTTACGACTTAAACGTACACAACACTTGACCGCTGTAAACGAGAGGAAGATATAGAGAGAAAGAATTATGAAGAACGAGAAATGAATCCACGGTTACACGAGTGTTGTAATTTTGTGGGAACGTGATACAAAAAGATGATACAACAATTTGGTCCTTATAAAATTCATGAAGCTACTTTCGACTCTAATTCTTATGTAAAGCGTTATGTCTCTCAATCCGGATACAATCAGAGGAAAATCAACGACTTTCGGGATATCCAGTGCGCTAAGGAGAGATGCCAACGCATAATTTCGGTGTCTTGTGAGGGATTGTGCTACAAGTATATTCCACCACTAAAAATCCTTATTACTCTTGTTGTCGATCATGTGCCAAGGACGTGGAGCATTCTGGAGCCGCGTTTTATATCGCGCTTTTTCCTCCATATCCGCATATCCGCCTCAATCTCCTCTCGCTAAATCATGAGACAAAAACGTTATCCTGTTCCTCTGTTTAGACGCGTTTAATTCATAATGTGGAACATTAACAAACATTAAACCGTGTACATCAATGCAAATGTATTACTACATCGAAAAGAAATTACTATATATCTTAATTAAATAAAACAAATATTTCTTTGAATATTTGCAAGTAAATATTTATCGAATGTTAACAAATATTTGTTTGATACAAGATAATTTAATTTAATTATCATTTTTTTCATCGAGTAAATATTTATTATAAGTAAATGTTTATTTATAAATATTTAAAAAAAATTTATTATTATAAGATATAAATGTAATATATATTTTTTCAGCGTATGCAAAAACATTAATAATAATTTTGAAAATACAGAGATACATTTTTTAAATAACTTTTTAATTTTTTTAAATTTTGTTGGATTATCAAAATTATTATATAGGACGCTCAAGCACAATAAACAATACTGCAAAAAGTTTTGAGCATTCTATAACATAATTATTCTGACGGTTTAAGAAAATTATTTAAAAATTGTCAATTTTTTAAGAATAAAACTGTTCTTTCCGTAAAAAAAGAAGAAAATAGCTTCGCATCTGCAATAAGATATCGTATTTATATTTTTGATAAATTTTTGAAAAATAGAATATTTATAAAATGTTTAAATCAATAATAAATAAAATAAAATAAAATATAAAATAAAATAATTAAATTGACAAGATCAAATTGTTCAGTTCAATTTGATTAAATAGATAGGATTCAATTTAATTTAATTTAGAGAAAAATGTATTTCTGAATATTCCCGAAATTCAATTATCGTGTATAGTTATCTGTAGCAATTTTATCATAAAAAAATTACATTGCTCCCGATTCCATCTTCTAAAGGAAGATCGAGTCGAATATGTTCGGGCGTGGTGCTTTCGCGAAGGACGAGAACGTTACGAAATTGTTCCATTGTGCTCTCCCTGAATTTCGCAAAATCGATTGAAACCTTCCTTATCTGCTTTTCTAGAATCGTCTGCGATATTATGAGCTTTTATTCACGTATTTTGCCTTTTTAAATATCTTCTATCCCTAAAATAATCCAATCATTAAACGAAAAGTTAGATCATCGAATAAAATTAATTTTTCTTACAATCTATGTATGTCAGTTTTTTGCAATATTTCCTTTCTCTTCAATTTAATTCTTAAATCTGCTCTCGCAATTTTATATGCTTTTCATGCAATAACTCGTAGTTTATCAAAAGACCTTCCGAGATATTCACGTGTATATTATACATGTATCTAATTGAAACATTCCAAAGTTAGAAGATTGAAGAATATTCGTCAAAGTCTACAATAGAGAGAAAAATATCACATATGTGATATACATATCGCAAGCAAGGAAAAATTCTCTGCGAAATGTTCGAGATGTTGTAAATCGCAGTGTATCTTTCTGAAACTTTATCGCAAACGATTATCTCGTGCCTTGGCAAATCGTTACGAATCATCCCCATGGAATGCCGCAAATTTTCGCGTGACGTTACTGGTCATTACAAGTCATTACAATCGGAAAGACAACGAGCGGCGATATAATCGCGTGTATATCGGCCGTCGTAGCGCGCGCAGCGTTACGCGGCTAGTTGACTGCGGAGTCGAGGGTGCGGGTGGGTGGTGGTGGTGGTGGTTGGTGATGGTGGTGGTGGCGGCGGTGGTGGCGGCGGCGGTGGTGGTGGTGGTGGTGGCGGCGATAGAGGGTTACGACGAAGGGGTGCGCGGTGAAAGGCAAAAGGCAGACGGGCGGCAGACACCCTGTGCTTATCCCTACCCCGAACCACCCCGGTCCGTGACTCACCAAACCGTTAAAGGATGAAGCCGCCCTGCTTTCACTCTACGCGCGCCACACAGACTCAAGCAGGTGTATACGTACACCCCCCACGAAGAAGTGGGAGAAGAGAGACGAGGAGCGATGCTTTCGAATGAACGAGCGTTGAACGCAGCACGTGTACGTGTGTCGCGCGTTTCAGTGTGTATCTATATACGTATGCGCGTACATATATAAAGGGTGGCTGCGGGAAGTGCGAAGTTTAATTACAATGATTAGATTCTTCTAAGCTCAATTTAGGAGTGGACTTTCTCTTGATTGAAACATCAAGGCGGTGGTGGTTTTTGGTACCACAAGTGAAGTTGTGTTCTTTGGTCGCGTTCCGACAGAGGTAGTCGACTTTTGAGAGAATCGATAATTGAATAATAGAATATACTAGAACACTATTTGATTAAATAATAATACGCAATTGAACAATTAGAACATTTAAGTCAATTTGTTAAAATTTTAATTTAAATTTTGATCACTAAGATATTTGATGTAAAACACTTGAGAAATACTAACTTGTTCCGCGTTAATTTTTTTTTTCGACGAGATGTCAACAGGGAATCTATCATAAATTTAAGCTTGAAGAATTATAAGACACCCTGTATATGAATGAAGTCCGGCGCGTAATTTCTAGTACATCGTAAAAGGGAGAAAGAAAAAAAACGAAGTCTGGAAAAACCTATTCATGCGGACGCGACATTTTTATCGTGAACACGCCGGAAATTAGCAATTGCACACATTATGTTGCACATGATGCATATAATTAACGCTTCATTTTCGAGATTCTTTCTTCTCATGAATACTAATTGCCCGCTCTGTCTTTACGATTCGTGTCTATTGCTAAAATTTATTCAAATAAAAATATACGATATTTACCAATTTATTGAAAATATATAAATGGCTGGATCTTTAATATTTTTCCCATCAGTCAAAACGTTTAGTCTCGTCGACATTTTAAAAATAATCAATTTCTTGAATTAGAATATCAAAATAGAATTATGCAAATTATGATTATTTAAAGCGAGCCCTTAATTTTATTTAATTTTGTATTTAATCTTCCTAAAAAAATTAAAATATTTTTTCTATTACAGGGCACACGTTGAATGGCCAGCCATTGCTGGAATTTCCGATGTCGAGTGGCGAACCGGCATTGGAACCTCTGAGAATCAAAAGGGCCACCTTGTGGGCAAGAGTTGAGCTCAAGCATGCCCATCACTATCAGCATCATCGTCACAGTCAGATAAACCAAAGAAATATCACTCTCTGGGTATTCAGAGTGCACTGCGGTAATACGACGCATCTCCGAGGCAAGGTATATAATCCATTCCTCTGATCGATAATTCAAATGAAACATTATTTCATGAAGAGAACATTATTTTATAAAAATCTTTGTTTTAAATAATATAAATAAGAAATAAGCGCTATAATTTTGTGTGTGCTATTCTGTTTCATCTCGTATCAAACACATGTATGTATCTAGTTTTTATTCTTCTTACATGAAAAGAACGAATTTTGTCGAGGTATCAAACATTAACTAAATATACATAATAATCTGAAAATAATTTTGCTGGACCATCAAAGTAAGACGTTCAAGATGATTGCTAAAGAATGTCAAAAATTTTTATAGTTTCACTCATCATGCTTGAAAATTCTACATAATTATTTTGATCCAATAAAATTTTTAGATCTATATCTTCAAATCTTTAGATATTTCTGCAAAATTATTTTTTTCATATAATTGTATTGTTTTTTTTGCAATATATATATATATATTGAGTTCGCGTCTATGGGTTCGCTCGAAATAATTGTGTGAATCAGTTATTCTTGCGAAATCATGCAAATCTTTAATAACAAGATTTCAATACGCTCTCTTGATCCTTCAACTCTTTTAATTAATCGCAGCATAATTAAAAAAGAAATTAAAAAATATATCTAACCGAAATATTTCTTGCAATCGTATTAATTATTTCGAAAAAATATATTACTCCTTATCTCTTAAGACACACAAAAGTATCATAATGCCTTATAATATTGTGTGTGTGTGTGTGTGTGTGTGTGTTATGTTAGAACAAAATTTTCTTTTTCTTAAATGAATGATTCAATCTACAGGAACTCGGGCAACACCTAGAGATGGTGACATCTCTTGTTGTGAACGTCGGCCAGCTCGGCTGGCAGAAATTCGACGTGACGAAGGTCGTCAGCAGATGGTACACGACGAACTACTCGAAAGATAAACTGACGTTGCTCGTCGACTGCAGCGGGTGCGGCTCGCATGTCCACGTATCGACCTTCGATGGGCATTCGCCGCACGTGATCGAGTCGTCCCTAAATTCGAAAGGTAATTTCCTGACGAAAATTTCGAAAAATTTGACAAATATTCGCGGTCAATTCATTTATCTAACTTAGGAATCAGCAAAGTCGCCTATTTTTGTATGACAGACGCAATTTTTTATATATTTTGAATTTTGCGTATAATAAAAAATATGAGGAAATTTGTTTTCTCTTGTTTATATAAGTATCTATATAACATCTTTTTAAGTCGTAAAATTTAAAATATCTACTATATAGCTATTTACAGAAAAAGTTTACCGACCTCTGTTCTAATCGATCTATATGTCTATATATGTGTTCGAATACTGAATGTCATTTTGAAAACTAGCACGAAAATTTTATCAATTATTATTATTATAACATTAATTTTTTTACTGTAATGATTTTCATTTTATTACAACATACCGGATACGCTCTTCTTTAATGATTTCCAAATTTGCAAGGTGATATTAACAAGCAGCTAAGATTTCAAATATTTTTTTCAATCTGTATAAAAATAACAATTTCGACTTTAACTATATATAGCTCTTTCGACATCAATTAGTTTTATTATAGATAATTACGAGATTTAATTGTTTCATTTGAGAAGATTGAAGCATTCCGATCGATCGTGTTGTCGAAAAATATTACTGGTCTGAGGTGGATCGAATAATATTTTACAATTACTTGTAACATTATACTTCGGTCTCATATGGAAGCATGTTGTAATTAAAAAGTATTTCCTTTCAGGCGATCACGATCCGGATAGACCGTTTCTAGTCGTGCGTACAGATCCAGCGGCCGCGAAGCGCGTTAGAAGACGAGCGATCGAGTGCAGCGGCGCGATAAAAGGTCAATGCTGCAAGCAGAGGTTCTACGTCAGCTTCTCTCAGCTTGGGTGGGACGATTGGATTATCGCTCCTCAGGGGTAAGTAATACGAACAGCATAAAATAATTCCTATATAATTACTCGCTTATTCATAATTACAACAACTACTTACGATTAAGTATTCAAATTTAAATTTGACAAATATCTGCACTGACAAAAATTATACTAAATCTTAATGCATATTTCTTTGAATAGTACTGAGTAAACATTTACTTAATACATACAGTAAATGTGTGTTTAAATAAAAAAGATAATAGTTTTGGTATCGAGTAAATATATGTTTAAATTTAATAAATATTTATACTTAGAATTATACAAACGAATATTTATTAAAATTTAGTATTTTTTTTAGTATATAAATTATCTAATCTCAATTCATAATGCATACAGTATATCAGTCCTAATGCCGGTAATAATATATTATATCAACTGATATAATTTCTCTCTCTCAAAAAAAAAAAAAAAACATTCTAGATTGAAAATTAACGCAATATACGAGTATCATTACTGGTACGCTAATATGGATCTCCCTGACAGATACTACGCCAATTACTGCAGAGGAGACTGCGCGGCTGGTCACAGAACGCCGGACACGTTTCTCAACTATTACACCCATGTGATTGAGGAATACCGGAAGATGGACCGGCTGGCCGGCATGCAACCATGCTGTGCGCCTCTCAAGTTCTCACCCATGTCGCTCATCTACTACGGCCCGGACTCGAACATAATCAAAAGAGACCTGCCGAAGATGGTCGTGGACGAGTGCGGTTGCCCTTAAAAAATGCGACAGGGAAACGAAAGAGCACGGTCGAAAAAGATCGTCGTGCTTCTGCCTTGTGTTTAAAAAAAAAAAAGACAAAGGAATGATCGCGGAATCGTAAACGCGAGCCCGGACTCGGTCCGACAAATCGGTTCAGAAACCGTCCGAATTCCGCGAGAATTGTCTCGTATTAGAAATGAGAAACCGGTGAACCGGAAGTCGATCGAGCACTGTGCGAATATTTAAGCGCGCGGCGCTCGAACGGTGGTCCGCGCGAGGGTGGTTTCCTGAAAACACCCGAGGGTAGACTGGTATGCAAAGATAGTCAAAAGAACTAGGTAATTTTGCTAGATTATACGCCACGTCAATGCGATTGCGTTTCGAGCGCGATTCGCGTGGGGTGATAAAGTAAAAATTGGCCTTTCTATATATATATACAAAATATAGAACGGTCGAATACGTAGAGTAGACCTTACCGGTTGGTAATTTGTAAAAAAAAAAGAGAAGAAAAGAGACAAGAGGCGTCTCGATTTCAAAGCGTCGTTTACAATACGCATATATATATATAATATATTTATCTATACTCTCCGGTTTATTTGTACGTGATCGTAAAAGGCAGAGAGAGGAGATATGCGAAAAAGTATTCAGAGTCGGTATTCTTACCCAAGAGCTTAGTCTTTCTTTATTAGTTGCGCGATGAGAATGAGAGAATAAGAGAAAGAAAGCGAGTGAGTGAGAACGAGAGAATAATTAAAACGATTGAAAGTAAAAGACGTGACTTTTACGATTATACATATATATATATATATATATATATATA